TTATTTTCATTTTTTATATCAAAAAATAATTATAGGCTAGGAAAATCTTAATCTTGGTATCATCCAATTCTCCAAACATGTTAGAACAAATGAATACATTTTCAAGAATTTAGTTCAATAAATACTACTTTACTTAGAGAAGCAAAGATGCAAACATGCTAGTTCCAGCTCAAATTTGTTTCCAAAAAAGTTCGAATCTCTTACTTTCAAATATGAAACTGCTTATTATAAGTAGGTAAAATTTGACACTTTTTTCTTATGTGTGTATTCGCTTCCTAAATATAAAATTTTCATTAAAAACTGTACTGGGTGTCCTGACCCACCCCTGTATGATATGGAAAGGAATGACCCATGGTATTTATTCCATTTAATAAAGTAGAATTTTTATTTATTAAGAAGTAAAGCACTAATTTTTAAAAATATTCTTTATAGTTTGTGTAGATTCAAGAGTTTTTCTAAATTTATGTGTTCTTGGTTAATTTTTGTAATATGGTAATTTCTAATTTCCATATTTCTTAATTCTATTAAGTTTTCTGTGAAGACTTTACACGTAAATTAAGAATACAACAATTTTTATGAATTGAAACTGTAACATAGAAGCACTGGTTGCAAAAGTGGTGTAAGTAATTTTTATAATAAATAATTAATTAAGTATTAAGTGCATTAACTGATTGGATATGCTAGAGACAGATTATTTTTAACAAATAAATTGAATTTATTTATTATTAATTTGTTGAATTTCTCCATAATATTTGATTAATTCAAAACTTCAGTTTTTTACTTACACCATTTTAGTATTCAATGGCTCATGTAGTGTACTAAAGAAAAATCCTTGTATTTAAGTGAATTTTCCTGATAAGTTTTTAAAGAGATAAATTATGATTTGTTGAAGAATTTCTTTAAATGATTGTTATGCAATGATCAAAGATCAACAATACCTCCGAGTGAGGTTGTCACCTACCTCAGCATTAAGATTCGAAAAAAGTTCGAAGTGATAGCTTATTTGGACTATTTGAAAAGTAGAGTGACCATAGCCCTTAACAGATTCAGTTGTATAGAGGGCACCTTTTGGGGTCTCAGATGCCTAGAAACTGTGAGCATTTATAAAGGTTTTATTTTGAGTAGCCCCTGCCTGGAGTCAAAATGGCTCTGCTTCAAGTCACCAGATCGTACAGGACGGTGTCCATAGTATCTCCAAGTGAAAATAGAAGAAGATCGTAGGAGTTGGAAAAGGATTATCTGGGAGGATACAGTAGAAGAGTGGAACTGGGGGTGGTTGACAACTCCAAAAGGAGCAACCCTGAGAAAGTATTTTCCCACCATCGCATCGCGACTAGAAGCAACTTGGGTCCTCCCGGACTACTACACCTCTCTCCCTTTCTGAATATCATCATTTTAAACTCTTCCCGATTAAATGTAAATTCCATTAATCACAATAGTTTTATAAATCTATAATCATAAGTTGAAGTCTATCTGCCATAAAAGCAATGAAGGCTTAAGTACACACTATCCTAATGATATGACATTCACTCCTCCTGCAACACAATCCTCTATATCATTAATGTACCCACTGAAAAGAAATATACTAACATTAAATTGGTTATTTGTGAAATGACAAATGTGCTATTTTTAAGATACAAATGTATGGATAAACAATCAATCTTTACATTAGTTATGTAAAGTGTTTTCTGTTACTAAAAGATGCTTCTGCGAATAATGCACCCTGAACAGCTCTCAACTCAAAAGTGGTATAAATGTGTCATTTTTTAAAATAACCTATTCAATTATTCCCTAATAATAATAACATATTATTATGTGATATACAATTTTAATGTTTACAATAATATACATTATTCCCATACTGTATCCCAAATAATATTTCAAGGAGTTCTGTCAATCCTTATTGACTGCACTGCTTGTTTAAGGTTTAAGCTCGTTATTATTTTAACAATTTTGATTGATACTCCTGTGTTACAATTTGTAATATAATGCCTAGTAGTGAACTATATGTTTAGTTCTATAATAATTGCAGATAGCAAAATATATCAAACAAAGTATAACATGTGCCTTATTTTCTTTCTCCTGCAAATTTAAGATAATTATAATAAGTAAGATTTTAATAGAATAATATTTCCTAAATGCTGCCTATATTCTTTAACTAGTTATTGGATATTAATGAGTAAGCCAATAATTTAACTATTGGGTTTTCAAACTTGATGCCCATGTAATTCATTGTGTCATTCTTATCCTCTACTTTATGAACAGGGAATATGATGGATAAATAAAAGCTATTAGGTGTTTCTCCCATTTCAAAGTCTTTATTAATAGAATTGTGTAGTTGTTTTAAGTAAAACATTGCTGTTTTTTTATTTTCAATACATTTTAACATTATTAAACTATTTATTATTTCATTTATATCTTTTAACAATGAAACTGAACAAAAGCATGAACAAAATCATTTCTGACACCAGAAATGAAATAGCAACTAACAGTTGAAGATTAAATGCAAATGAAATTAATGACTGGAAAATGATGATGGTGGGAGAATGGTAGGATTTTCAAAGAAATATGTATGTAGAGGAACTAGGAACTGGATACTGTCAAAAATTAAGTTGAAGTGCAGGATGGTGGCTAGTCGCGGGAATTTCAAAAAGTAGGGGAAAGGAGAAGAGTAGTGGGGGCAACAACTACTAGGCGGGTAATCTAACCTAACCAGGAACTATCATTGAGGATAAGCGCCCCCACCCCAGCCCAAAAAGCTGCGGGCATCATGTAAACTATTACCGTTCTTTTTTATTATTATAGACATTCAAAGTGAGATTGGTGGACTTATGTTGTTTACTACGTTAATATTTCCAGAATATAATGAGCCGTTATTAATGCTCTCTTTTTGTTTGTTATATTTAAAAATCACTCCTGTTTCGAAGTCCTTTAAATTTATCAATATAACACAGTTCACCTAACATACATCAAAGAGAAGTTTGATAAAAGTTATGAAGGGTGGTAAAATTAGATTTTCGAATTACTCAAAAAGTATACACGTTTTGTTAGGTTGTTGCATGTTATTTAAAAGTTTAGGGAATTTAAAAAAAAATAAAAGAAGAACCATTGAAATCGAGAGGTTTATTAAAAATATATTTTGTTCTAAATAAAAGTGCACACATTTTTTTAATAGCCAACCTGGCCGAAAATTAATTTCTATTCAAATTAGAACGATAAGTGAGAGTTGTGTGATGCAAGCACCAGATTTTTTCATTACATTGTCAGACATTTCAATAAATTTATACTTTATCTACTTACAATTCGATTTTTGGTATCATAAATAAATTCATATGTCTCAAATTAAAGAGGTCAGTAACTTAGAAAAAATAAATAAAAAATAGTGGTTCAATGAAGACTGTTCAAACATGTGCAAAAATAATCTTGAATACTTCCGAGCCTCAAAGAATGAAACTACGAAATTGCTCAAAAATAAATAAAAATGAGAGCATCTAAAAATTATATAATAGAAATAAAAGCTAATAGAACTGAAAATAATGTATCAGAAATGTACAAAGTTATAAACAAATCACATAAATGTTTAGGACCCGTAATGAATGGAATTAGGAATTTCATAACAATAACAATATCCTGACCGATCCGGTAGACATCTTAGGTAAGTTTAAGAAACACTTTGACAATATTTAAAATACAGGAATTAATGATCTGTGTCCTTAACAGAAGACCCGAGAGTAAATAGAAAGTTGAAGTAGTTATCGGAAAATTAAAATCTTATAAAGCACCAGGAACTGATAGCATTCCTACTGAACTAATTAAGGGAGTAAAAATATCCAGGAAATTGTCTGAAGAATAGAAAGAATCTATTCTTATTCTAATCCACATTCTATTCATCCAAGAGCCCGAGGATGGATTGCAATAACCATCGAAGAATCTGTCCTTCCGGTATGTTATAAAATATTCACATTAATCCTTACTAATCGAATTACAGAATACGCAGAGAGAATTATCAGAAAATACCAATGCAGATTTAGACAGAAACATTCAACTATTGATAAAATATTTTCTTTACAACAAATATTAGAGAAAAAATTATATAACAGTGTTGTTCTTCAGCTGTATATAGATTTCTAAAAGGTTTATGATTCCATTGACCGCCAGAACCACCATGCTACCTATTGTTCTATATGGATGCAAAACGAGGATGCTCACATTAAGGGATAAGCAACGTCTTAAGGTTTTTGAAAATAAAGCATTGTGTAGAATGTTAGCCTTAATAACAAAAGAATTCCTAAAAAGTTAATATTTGCTTTGCCGACTAGTAAACGCCCGAGGATTGTGTTAAGGCTGATCTGGTTGGATTAGGTTTGAACAGCGACCAGTGGAAAGAGGTAGCGTAGGAATGTGTAGACAGAGATCGGTGGTGTCGACATTGAACCATCAGATTCATTAAGCCTTTTATTATTATTATTGCTACTCTCATGAATAAATTTATGTGATATTTATTTATATGTAAATTAATCTATAATTAAAATATTAGATCAAATATAGGGCAATAATAAAATATTTTATATAATGTTTAAACCATACTTCAATGGTTTCCTCATGTAATGAAGATAGAAGACAACAGATCATGAAAAAAGTTATCCTATGTCTAGCCAGAGGATAGGATGAAAAATGTAAAGGAGAGAATGACTGGAAGAGGAAGAATGTTTTTATAGTTGACTGTCTATTTTAGGAGAGCCTTTCCCTAATGTTGCTACATTATCTTATTTAGTAAGTTTAAACAATAAGGCAGAAAGACAAGGATTAGGTTATCCTATCTCCAAGGCTCGGGTTCTAATCCAACAGTGGCAGATAATTATTTATTCAGTTATATTAGCCATGGGATCAAGAAACCCTCCTGGGGCACACTCAACCTTTGTAAATGGTTTTGGATTATGAATTATCAACTTAAAAATCAAAGTTTGCATGATTCAAAATTCTTTACTTAATATTATATTCACAGTTCCATAAAATACATATAACATTTAGATGAGATATAAAAGTCTTGTGAGATTATATAACATATTTTTAAATTTATGAAAATACCACAAAATAATGGCTGGTATATTTACAAATTTATTTATAAAGGAAAAAAAAAACTAAATGAAAATGGAATAACAAAGAAATATTTATAATCTATATATCTAGGTGTATACATATCTGTGGGAAAAATAAAATTCCTTATTTTTAAATATGTAATACACAGTATTCCATAAAAATCACATCTAATTTTTAATTAGAAATTAAAAAAGTCAAGACAAAAACAAATGATCAAGTTTAATTTCTAAATTATCACAATCTGAAATTTAATTAGAAAATGACTTAAGTAAAATAAAAATAAATCTACAAATAACTGAATAATCATATAGAATAGATATGTTATAAATGAAATGAATAAAGTGGCTGATATTTATCACCTTGTTTTTATACACAAACTTGACATATTCCACTCAGCCTTGTATTGATATGAAAGAACAAAAATTTGGAAATAAAACAATATATAAACAAAAAATATTTGCCAATTTAACAACGAATGTAGTCATCGTGAAAACGGATTTATTGGGTTGAAAACAGAAGGTGATTTGAGAACACTGTGTCTAGGTTTTTTCTCAGCATCAAATGGTACACTAGGACTGTTCTTCAGTGACATTTTGTACTCTTTTTCTTCTAAAACAAATCAAACAAAAATAATTAAGACAAATTTACAGTAATTCAAAGTATAATTAGTCATCTTACAAATCTAGAGCCAACATTTATGTTAAAAAGTTATTCAAACTTCTTGATAATTCTGCTTTTCTGCATATAAAACATATAAGTTGATTGCATAGGTTATAAGTTGATTAATTAATTTCCTTTGATAATTACAATAGCCATTCAGCTTAATTTAAATACAGTAGAACCCCTTAGTCAAAAATTATATTTGAAAATATAATAATCTTGCTTTTTGATGACTTTATTTAAAATATATTCCAAGTTATTCAACTTTTTGGGTTTTTCTCCACCATAATTTAAAAATATTATGATCAATTAATAACAAATGATTGCATATACAATGTTAATTTATTTACCTTTTTCACACATTACCAATTTAATGCAACATCCATAGTTGGCAATCATCACTTCAAATTCGTCAAAATGTGTTGTTATGAATAAAACCGATAAATAAGAAATTCCTCAAATATTCACATTAAATTATTGACATAGAATAGGACACTTCTATTTTTTAATTACACATCCTAGGAATTAAATACCATGGTTCAATTTAAATTGAAGCCAACAGGAGGCGAGATGTAGGATTGATGGCCTTACCACTCCATGTACTATTATCAGGAATTGTATTGTTTTCTTTTTAGAATTTCAAATAGCCAACTGGAGGTTTGATCTGTGGGAAGTCTTCTTCAGTGAAAGAAATATAGGACGGACCTCTTGTGTTTGTGCCCCAAAATACTCATAATCTGTGGATCCAGATCAACTTATTACTTTCCTTGAAACCAAGCACTTTAAATGGAAGCCAGTGGGATGGACACTATTGGGTTGGCCCGAAAAGAGGTATGGATAGCCTAGTACTATAGCAACCATGGTTTACAGCAGCTTGAGGTTGGGTGAACCATTTCAGGCATACAGTTTTCTCTTAAACAGTAATTATCAGACAGAAAACGAAAGTGAACTACCCACTATGGACCATGGATATGGATTTATAACACAAAAAAAAATCTATTGTTCCTAAATTATTTTGTATTGGGCACTAAACTTGCAATTTCATTTCTAAATGTATGTATATATTGATAATTGGTAAATGGTTGACTGTCGTGGATAATGAACAGAAGAATAGTTGGGGTGGTCAGTCAAAAAAGAAGGCAAAAATAAATGATAATATTTATTTTTACATATGCCGACGTTTCGACCTGAAGTTCAGGCCATCATCAGGGCTAAGAAAAGAACCAGATAACAAGGTATGAGAAATACAAAAATTACAGTAAAATGAAGTTGTTAGAATAATGACAATAGTAAGAACAAAAGACAAATAATAATAACAGGTACAAAGTGTGGAATGATGAAGTAAACATAGTCCCTTTACAATAGTTATGTCACCTTTTTTGACTATGTTTACTTCATCATTCCACACTTTGTACCTGTTATTATTATTTGTCTCTTGTTCTTACTATTGTCATTATTCTAACAACTTCATTTTACTGTAATTTTTGTATTTCTCATACCTTGTTATCTGGTTCTTTTCTTAGCCCTGAACTTCAGGTCGAAATGTCGGCATATGTAAAAATAAATATTATCATTTATTTTTGCCTTCTTTTTTGACTGACCACCCCAACTATTCTTCTCTTCTTTATGTATATATTGCCTTAAAGTGATATTTTAATTAAAAAGTAATGTATAACTATGCATCTTATTTTTGAGGTTGTCTTTTTTTCAGGTTAATTATTTTCCCTCATTTCATGATTACAACTGTACTTCAATAATTATTGAAAGTAACAGCATTGATATACTATAATTTTCCCAATATAAATATTTCTTAAAAATAAAAACTCAATATTTCTAATAAAAATATTGATATGATATATTGGGGTTCAACTGTACTCAAATACATATATTTTATAAATTATAGTAAACATATTCATTATGCCCTGACTAATTATAAATGTATACAATTTTTTTTTTCTTTTTAGTATTTTAAAAGCCTCACCTTGTGCAGTATTTCGATTGAGATGAAATGATACTTTTTTTGACCTATTTAACATTGTATTAATGGCAACCTATAAAATACATAAAACTGCATATAGTTGGAAATACAGTGCAAACAAACTAAAAAACCTTTTTAAAAATATCAATACACATAACAAGAGTAATAAACAGTATTCTGTCATAATATAATAGAAAGTACAATATAAACCACCTAAGTTAGGAGACAAACTGATAAACTTAGTCATTATAAGTAATTAATATATCTTAAAATTGTAATTAAAACTTCCAGGTAAGTATTTAAAAGCCTATTGGGCTTAAAAACTCCAATATAAATTTTAAAAATATTAGTCTGGTCTAGAAAACAGAGATTTATCTTTATTTTGTTTCTACATTAGATGAGTCGCCATCATTATTATACTTAGGTACACAATTAATCTTTTACCTTCAAATACCAAAATTACAAACCGTTTTGAAAAGTCTTGCCCCCTTCAAGTGATATTAAGATCACCTAACAATTTTAATATAAAAACTAGATTAAGGTCTCCTAACTAAACCTACGATACCTTGTTAAAAAGATTTAATGAGGAGGAAGAACTATTAATGAAGACAAATCTTATTGCTTCAAGACAAATAAGAATCCAAGATTCTCATTCTCTCAAACTTTAATGAAGTTAGGTTCTGATGTCGGATGAATAAGCCAAGAATCAAGGTCTCACTGGAATATTAAGTGTACTAACACACTCCTGTGGTGCCAGAATCAGTTAAGGAAAGAATTGAAGTAACAACAATATATAAGTTTAATTTCACTGTGATGACCTAAAAAAAATAGCCCCATTTAAAGTTACCTATCACTCTTTCAAAATTATATTCATCAGATCAATACTACATACTGTTCTAAAGAACTTTGTTATCCTTAAAAAAAAAAAAAATTCAAACAGAAGTAAGCATCTTAGAAATACAACATAATAGTGACTATCTGTTTTGATAAATTTTGTAAGCCAAGACTAATCAACTTCCTTTACTGGGTGAAATGGCAAAAGATACCATACAGTTTCTTCATTTTCAGGACTACCAAGACATACCAAAGAAGAAGAAACAAGACAACAAAACAATATTCAATTCAATGGTAGTACTAAAAATATTTTAACACCCTGCTGTGATTATATGAAATCCTGCCTCTAATAAAATAAATAATCAACTACAATGCAGAAATATACACATTCTAAGATAAATAGTCTAGAAATAATTTTATGATCACGATGGATAACTTATTAAGTAGGAAAATGCTTCTCAAGACCTATCTGTTTTGTGATCATCTCTGAAACTTTCTGCAAACAAGTAAGAAGTTGATAATTCATCACTCTAAATCTTTTATTAGGTTCAATATAAGAACTGTGGAGTTACCTACTTCTTTATAATAGCTTTTATAAGAAAATTTAGAAGATGATCACAATCTCTAAAATCATAAAGACCATTTTTTGACTTACAGGGAGAAAAAAAAGTTTTCTATACTCTGGCTTTTATAATAGAGTATAAAAATTACTAATGTGTTAGCAAGAGGATACAAAATCATTCTCCAAATGCCACATAAACTATAAGCTGGGTTTTAAAAATTATTTGCATACTCCTTTGTAATGAATTATACTCCATTATCACTACAAAAAAATAACTTTAAAAAGAAAAATATAAAATTACATTTTTAGAAGGTGACATTTTTGATCCAAAATTTGAGTCTTTCTTTTCTGATGGGTTATATTCAACATTCACCTCCACAAGACTACTAGGAACTGGTGTAGTATTTACCTATAAATTAAGAAAAAATATAAAATAAAGTTCAATAAACAAATTTAAAAAAAAATATCATTTAGCATACTTCATTTTCTGTGGACATGTCCCAATCATTTTCAAAACCCCAATCATTAGGACTCTTGTCAGTTTTCTTTTTTGTTCTTGTTTGTTCAGGAACTGGAGAGGAATCTGATTCCCGTTCATTAATGTCAGTATCATTTATATTTAAATTACTAAATTCGATATTATTAATGCTTTTAACATCTGGCTGCTTTTTTTTCTTTCTCTTCATTGATGCTCTTTGGCTTTTTGGATCAATGTTCTTTTCTTTTTCAACATTACAAGGAACTGCTTCAACTGTTTCCATGTTTTCAACATTATTCATTGGAACTACTAAGCTTTCATCTAAAGTTACTTTTATCCTTTTCATGGTTGCAACAAGATTATCACATTGAACTTTTCTTTTCTTTGACATATTTTCAACTTCCCAGTTCCCAACACTACCTGGAGGTATCTTTTTTATTTTAGAATTTTGAGTTAAATTTTGGTTTTCAAGTGGGCTTACCCTCCAGCCTATGTCTAAAGTAGATTTTTTCCCTGGTTTACCTTCCGAGTAAGCTGCTTTTTCTTCAGCTAATAAATTTTCTGCTGTCTTCTCTATGATTTCTTCTTCATCTTCTGGTTCAGGTAATTCTATTTTATGGATTCCCAGAGGATATTTGCCTTGAGTATAAATTTCAAATCTGAAATAAAATACACCTTATAGATGAATATGGTTTAAACGGAAATATATAAAATAATGCATAACTTTTTATTGAATAAAAATGCAATGAATGGGATTATAGTGAAAATAAGCAAAAGAAAATTATATAGCTAAAATAACATAAAGATCTAATGGGAGAAATATTATTTGAAATATAATTCAAAAGAAGGAGATATAGAAGAAATGGAAAACAGCATTAATTAACCACTTCACCGCTAAATGAGAAGAAACTGAAAACAGACACCAATAATTACAGAGGTATATCATTACTACCAGTGAAATACAAAATCTTGTCGAAAGCTTTACTGAATAAGTTAGAACCTCAACTCGACCATCAGATAGGACAATATCAAGGAGGATTTAGAAAAGGAAGATCTTGCCCAGAACAAATATTCAGCCAAAAACTGATCCTGAAATATTATATGGTAAGATAAATGTAAATGTATATATCCTTTGTAGACTTTCAAAAAGGATATGACTCAGTGGACTGAGAGACACTATTCGGGACTTTGAGGTAGTCTGGAGTATACCAGAAAACAATAAATCTAATCAAATTGATATAGACCGAAACATACTCTAAAGTGAAATTTAGAAAGGAAATTAGTAGGGCATCTGAGATTAAAACTGGGACTAACAAAAAGTGACGGACTATCTCCCATTTTATCCAACACAGTGCTAGATAAAATCATGAAGAAATTTTGGGAAGCCAAGTGTAGGACTAGGTTAGAAAGAGGGAATGATAAGGTAGAAGTCAGATATTTAGCATTGCTAAGCAGACAATTTAGCATTGCTGGCAGAGAATGAGTGAGAAGCAATTGACCAAGATAGGAACTAAATGAAATAGAAAAAAAAACAAAGAAAAAAAAAAGATTAAAGATATCCTTCAAGAAAACAAAAATAATGACCAATAACTAAGAAACTGAAAAGAAAAGATAAGAAATTAAGGAACAGTAGTTAAAGCTGTTATTAGAAATGGTAGGAATAATTTAGAAGGCTAGCAGCGAGATGTTATGATTAAGACATATGATATAATTTACAAGTTATTGTTATTGAAAACAACTTTAATTGTGCTTTGCGTGCTATTAAAAAGAATATCAGTGCTCCATTCATTTTTTTGTCTTTTTCTTTGATCTGCAAGTAACAGCTTAGTGTTTGTTATATTAGGGTGGCTACCAGACTATTAAAATAAAATTATCTGACTACAAATGAATAACAAATGATGTATTGATACCTTGTCTCTAAAATCTTAAAAATCTATAAAAATAAATTCTATTTAATGAGAAAAAAACAAAAACAAATAAAATAAACATACTTCTTAGACAACTGATTGATTGTTCTCCTAGCTTTGGTTGTGCAATCTTTCCGCTTGGCAACTTCCAAAAGGTAATGTCTTATGCTTTCTGCATCAAAATCTATAGGTGGAAGATAAACATCAACTTTCCCTGCTCTTGGATCTAGGTTACCATCACCTTCATCTTCACTTCCATCATGCTCAACATCTTCAACAGCCAATTCTTCATCACTGGCTTCTTGTATAACATCTATATCTCCTTCAGGGAATCCCATCTAAAAACAATAATTTGTCATAAGCATAGCACATTGTAAAGTTATTAGATAGCTATTTAGTCTGTATTGGACAATCTTGTACAGAAAAGGAAAGTGAAGAGGAACCTTTCCAGGCAGGATTAAGGCTGGCAGGAGAATGAATTCCACTTCTGTATATCTGGTTGAAGAAATGACTCTTACTAACAGGTATCTGTACTGGATTTTGCAAGTCCTCGCGGGACATGGGAACTTTTGGGCCAAACTGCATAGTTTTTGCAAGGATGTCTATCCCCTATAGGAACATGCTACAGAGGAAAATGGGGTTGTTTGTTATAACAGAAGGTGATTTCCCTGTCCTCATGAAAAAAAAAAACTATTCGTACTTCGAAGAGTTCATGTACGGGTGGAAGACGACTGCGGGACCGGAACATTACAACCTTGGAGCCCCTAGGCGAAGAGAGGAGGCGGCAGAAGGCAATCCATATTGGACAAAGCTCCTAAAGGTGTGGACTTCAGTTGAAGCACAAAAGTCTAAATGGTAGGGGTAGCGTGATAGATATATTATTTATTACGCTACCCTCACCAAAACCCGTATTGCCGTAAGGCAAGGGTGTAAATTAAAAAAAAGAAAGACGTATCTGTACAGGCTTCCTTTCAAAAGGGGGCATTGATTAAATTAAATTAAAGTACATGATTTACAGCCGGTGCACTATAGAAAGGAGAATGATCAACCAGTGATCTAACAGCCTCAAGATCTTGACGTTCTGTGTTGATATTTTCTTTGATATCCATCATCCTACTAATCCTAACTGGATAATCTTAACCAGCTCCAATTCAAAACTTCATTTCTGTGTTTCTATTATTTATTGGAGAAGATGTAATCTTACTTTCCCAAAATTATCTTCATAGCTCCTTTTTGTTAATAGCTGACAGCTGTTGTTTACATCTTTTCAAATTCTATCCATAAAATCCATCATCCATTTTCAGGTTCCATCCTAAATACTTTCCTATCTCTCCTCTAGCATGTCTAGTGTCTTGACCACTTGTCACATAAATTTCCAATCCTTACCTGCTGATTATGAAGAACTCCTACAGTATTACACACATCAGTTTTACCGTGATATTGCAGTGTCCAAAACATAGCTAAAAAAATATTGTAACCCTTTCTCTTCTGTTTGCCTTCCTGATCATATTTTTCTCTGTGACTGAATTGGCCAGACTGGAATTAGTCAGCTTCAGGTATTTATTTATATTCATAATGGTTCAATACCGATTGAATTCCTTTTTTTAAAAACTTCTTGTTAAGTGCATCATCTCCTTTGTATTGTGGCATATTACCTTTCTCAGGTTTCTGTCAACCCATTATTTGAATCAATCCTCTACTATGCACCTATTTACAATAATATAATAATTTCTGATGATTTTAAAATCTATCTACATTCTAAATCCAATGATAAATTGTACCTGGAAAATCTCTTACTATCCCTTCATTTTCTCCTTCCCCTCAAACCTGCTGGTTCTGTATTCACTGCCTCACACAACATTCTTTCCTACTTTTAATTGCATTGTCTTCCCTCTGCTTGGATTTATAAGCTACCTTTAGTCCTAAATGATCACACTTTCACTTTTAGAATTCTTTCCATATCTACATTATTTTGGAATTCTCTTGGTACAATCTCAAAAAAATAAGATCCTTTATTCCTCATCTATAGACCCCTTCCCTTTCCACTGAATTAGCCTCCAATCATTCATTGCTTGCCCACTCCACTGCCTTTTGGGATTCCTACCATCTAATATGCCTCTTTCCTATCCTCATTCAAATCCATTGTTTACCATTAACTTCCCACATTCAAAACACACTTTCCAATCATGAATTTTTATTTAAGAATAAAATGTCAATCAGAAGAAAAAATAGTTTTAATATTGAAGAAGTTACTACTTCATATTTATAGTTTTGGGCTAGTTATGTTTTCTGTTTATTGGTGCATATTTATTATTCTTAAGGGACCTAGTCCCAGTATATGTTTTCTGTTCAATTCTATAAGCTAATAAACTTCTTTTATTTTCTCTTTCTTAAAACTACAAAACAATAATTTCTTTCTTAAAAAAACAAATGAGAATAATAAATATGTACAATAAACTGAATAAATTATAAAAATAAATAAAACTAGTAATAAATTAATGAATAATTTAATTATTTAAATATAGAAGAGAAAATAAATTACAATTCCAATAGTTATGTCAAATGAAGAGAAAATAATAAAATTACCTGCCTCCATACTTCAAACTTGGCTTGATGTTTGATACCTTCTTCAGACTGCCTCAACAATTGAAGGAATAAAGAATTAGTTAAAGATTTCATTAATCTTGAATCACTAGAAAGTTGCATAAAATCTGCAAAAGGCTTTATCATTTCCAGTACAGTGGAAGGATTCAATTCTCCTCTACCAACCTATGAACATAATAATTTAAAAACAAATTTAATATTGTAATGACTTATTTTTAACATAACCTTAAAGTATATTAATGTGCGTACTCATTACAATAATTGGTGTTGGTGTACAGGTGTTTGAAACACATGTTAGCCCACTCGGCCACCCTCTCATACTTTCATTTTCATACTTTGCCTTGAACTCCAAGGTATATTTCGAATGGTGCATGATTCTAGAAAATCATCTGGTCATTTTAATACCAAATGCCCCTTCCCCATGACATGATCATTAATCTTGATTAAGTATCCCGATAGAATACTGCTTTCAAGATCTTTTGATATAGATGGCTTAGAATCCATCTATGGCAAATTAAATATAAAAAAATGAAAATCGATCCTGGACATTGAAAAATATATAAAAATTCATTTTCTATTTAAAATTTTATGAGTTTTCAAAATGTGTAAAGTTTCATAATGCAAAATGACCCATAACAATTATAATTGTGGGTTGATGGTTGACTGTAGTGAATAATGAAGAGAAGGATGGTTGGGGTGTTCAGTCAAGATAAAAATGACACAAATAAATAATAATATTTATTTTATTTTAACATTTACTGAAGTTTCGACCCGAGGTTTGGGTCTTCATCAGGGCTGAGCGAAGATATCGCTTGAATAGAATGATTAATCCTAATCATTTTTATTTTGACAGATCACGCCAACCATCCTTCTCTTCATCACAACAATTATACTATTTTTTTAACACGATATTTAACAAATCTTCCCACAGAACATTTCTAAGGAATTCGTTTATACCCATACCCAAAATGCATTGAAAATTTCATAGAGGTACATTTACAATGATCTAAGGTACTATCCATCTAAGGTGGATATACTTTGTATTATTTGCAAGTTAAGAAGCATTTTCTTGTCCCAATAATTATAAATAAAATCATAAATAAATACAATATACTTATGTATATATATATATATATATATATATATATATATATATATATATACAACTTATAACCTTGATACCAACTGACGTAAAGAAAACTAAAAAGTATCAACATGTATTCACCTGAAATTTCTATTTCTATTTTAACTATCTTGATTCAAGAAGCTGAAAGCTTTTTTTTTATTAATCCACATTAATTTTTAAAAAATAAATATAATTTCTGTTACTTGAGTTGTTTTAAAATGTCATAAAGCAGGATAAATATCTTATTCTTCTGCCATCATCCACGAAGAGAATAAATAATTTTAAATATCTAAATCCAATAATAAAGCAACATAGATATTTCAAAATAATTATAAATACAGTTTTGAAAACATACAAGAATTTTTACCTTTGCTAATTCTTCTAAATAAATTTCTGATAAATGAAGGTTTAAACCTATAGGGGCCAAGACAAGAGACTTATAAAGATCTTTACTTATAGCTTCCACTTTTCCAGATTCCCAATTCTCCTTATAAAGGTATTCCAACATTTGCCTCAAGAAACGCCGAACAAGCTAAACAAAATGTAAAAGATATATCTATTAATTATAATTTTGATAATTTTACCTTTTTTTTTTAATTCAGAAATTGACTTATGCATGCATAACAATTAAAAAATTAATTTATATCACAAATCAATTATAGTTTTAGAAAATATTACAACAATATACATTAAAATATAGTTGTCCCAATCTTTAATCATTGGTAATTAGTTTACAGTAATATTTTGTCTTCCAACTGTCCTCTAGCAACATATGGTTGAACATATAGGTCAGATACATAGGTTTAAATATTAATTTGTTATACATTAATTTTATTTTTCTTTCTTTCCAGGAGCATATTTTCTAATTATAAATTTGTTAATATATAAAAAAAATTAAAATGTTTATAAATTCAATAATAATCGAGTAAAGTTTTTTATGACCTAAAAACATATACTAGAACTAATTACAAGTTATAACTAAAAGCGATTTGCCGCCATTGTATCATCAAGCTCCTTTATCGTATATTAAGATGAATTTAAAGTTGGATTTCATCAAAAGATGGGATCACATATGGACGACCTCAGCTAAGTCACCAAGCTTACACAGATTTATACCACACATTTCAATTCACAATTACAGACACATTCACAGTAATGACTACAAACTTACGCAAGTACTTACGGAACATGGGAATACAAAACAATATCTTAAAAGATTCAACATTATACAAACAGACTTATGTGATGAAGACTGACAGGTTCAAAATTTTAAACATATAATATATGAATGTAAACGATTGGACAGACAGCGATTTGAGTTAATAAAAAGCATAGTTATCAAAAATGGAAATTGGCCTGAGACGGAACAAAAGTTATTTACTGAATTCAAGACAGACTTTCTTAGATTTATTAGATCTATCGACTTCGACTTACTTACCAGGGATGGGCAGTGTGGGTGATTTCTTGTTGGTTTTGTTGGATTGACTTTCTGTGTTTAATATTTAATATTCCGATTTAATTTATGTTTTATTTTTGTGTGTTTATTCTTTGTATTTTTGTTTGTTAATGTATATAAATTTGAACTAAAAATGTATATCATGTAAAACTAGAAAAGAAACAATTGTAAACAAATGTAATTCATGTAGTATGTCTTTAAGGCATGGAGCATGAAGGAAAATCAAATAAACGATCCTTGTGTGGGGTTCCCACATAGGAAAAAAAAAAAAAAAAAAGTTATAACATGTGTCTGCAGCATTAATCAATTCCGCTTAGTTCATCAATTCATCAGGAGTCCAAAGAGTACAAACCATCAGCCTTAAGATTTGTTCTATGAGAGTAACTTAATGGATTAACCATCACAAAACTCAATACCAATTTTTCATTTAATCTGATTGATAAATCCATCGGCAGTTGAACTTACAGTTAACACAAGTTGTCTTAATATGCCATATTTAGAAATAATTTTATTTATGAATACAATCTTATTTTTATAAAATAGTATAGGACCAATCCACTTGAAATCACTGAGATTATGTTCCTCGACATTTTTGATTTTTTTACCAGTTATACCATACTTATTGGGGAGTTCAAAACTGTAGTTAAAAAAAAATTGAGGCTCACAGTTTTTTCTCGGCGGCCATTTCAAATTTTCTTTTCGACTGAAAATATGTTTTGGGAAAATGCCTGTAACTCTGGTTATTTTGTAGATATCAAGCCAAAATAAAAACTGAAATAATTTAGAGCATTTTGCTACATTTCTGTTAATCAACACATTACTAAACAGAAAGGAAATTGGATTTCAAAAATCATGAAAATAGACAAAAACAAGTTACTTTTAGGACTGCAAAAGTGTAATAAAGAAAAGAGTCGCATCTTTAATTTTTCATTCTTATGTAGTCCTACCACTGTACTTGTAGTTGAAGAAATTTCAATCTTGAAAACCTTGTCTGTTTTTAAAGATGTATTTTCAAAAACGCTCAAAAGTAGTTTTCAGCCATTTTTTATGTTACTTTCCTCACTACTTGTGAGATATATTGAGATAATTGTGAGGATAAAAAATTTACTGTAAAAAATCGTAATCATTTTAATTTTTGTTTTGTTTTGATAAGTTAGAGTAGGTAGGATATGCTGATAACGACTCACACTAGGCAGCCATATTTGTTTCGCTATAACCAATAAAACCAGTTGAGTCTCAAAGATCAAATTTGTATCATTAAGAGGTGAAAACTGTATCATTAAGAGGTAAAAACTAAAGAGGTAACTCGGTCCCTTTAGTGATAAAAAATCGCCACTAACAACTTTTGAGCGTTTTTGAAAATTCATATTTAAAAAAGGTTGAAATTTCATCAGCAACATGTACAGTGGTAGGACTACATATGAAGAAAATAATAAAGGAGACTCTTTTCTATCTTATTACACTTTTGCAACCCTAAAAGTCACTTTTTTGTTTATTTTCATGATTTTTTAAAACCACTTTCCTTTCTTTTTAGATAATGTATTGATCAACAGAAATTTAGAAAAAATGCTCTAAATTATTTCAATTTTTATTTTGGTTTGGTATCTACAAAATAACCAGTTACAGGCATTTTGACAAAACATGTTTTCAGTCGAAAAGAAACTTTAAAATGGGCGCTGAGAAAAACTGTGAGCCTCGAATTTTTAATTACGGTTTTGAACTCTCAAATTAATATGGAATCACTGTTAAAAAATTATAAAAATAAAAAATGTTCAGCAACAAAATTAATTCAAATTCGGTGATTTCAAGTGGGCTGACCCTATATAGTTATTTTTATACCATTGTAAAATGTATTTTTGTTAATTTATTAATTAACTTAAATCATATTTTCAACCAATCATAGGCTGTAAATTATGAACAATGGATAAATGGATTAATTTTTAAATTGTTAAGTTGTTTGGTACTCTCTTTTTATCTTTCTAGTGGCCATACAAATAACTCGTAAGCCTATAAATTGACAATTTTTTGTGATACCTGTAAAATCAAGTGAAATAGACATATTTTTTTATCATTTCTTACTAATTCATTCATAAACATTAGGCAAATGTGAATATCAAATATAGAATTGGTTTTCAGTTATACTTGCACATTATAACAATGACATCAGCAATTTTTTGTTTATTTAATATGTTTTGTATAAATACATCAAGAAAAAAAAGTTTCAATAGAAATATAAAACCACGTGGTGGGCGGCATAATTTTAGAGAGCCCAGCTTTAGTCAAATTGAATTAAAACCTACATAAGATTCATCACATTCTACATAGCCCATTTAATGGTAATCATAACAAAGGTAAGAGGAGAGTGAAATTACTCCTTTTCACAAAATTTTTAAACAAACAAACTTTTGTAAAAATAATAAGTTATTTACAAAAAAAAAGTCAAATAATTAGTACTGTTTGTGTTCCTGCTAATTTAATAACTTTTAGTTTCGTTAGTATTTCTAAATTATTTCATTTGACTCGGTTGTATTTCTGAATAATTTTATATGAAATCAGTTCTCAAATTTAATGCTCAACAATAAATGGTAAATATTTACCATTAGTTAATTGTAAACTAGATTAAAAAATAAAAGATAGCCACTTTGTTGCCTTTCAGTGTAAACTCTATCCAATTCCAAAAACAAAATAGATATATAAATAAAATTAATTTCACCATTAAGTATTTGTCCAAACGATGGCTGTCGAGACCAAACCAGGCTTGAGATATGCTTTGAAAAAAACATCTGATAAATTTTTGAACATCCTCAAGCTCCATGAAGCAGTGGATAAGGTTACTTATATTTTCAACACATTCTTCCTATAAAATAATTTTAAAAAATAATTAAAATATGAATAAGTACACAATTAAATTAAACCAACATTTTTATTTATGATAAAAATATTTTATAATGGTTAACAGGATTTATATAGATTAATAACTAAATTAACAGCGAATACTACATTTAGAAGGTTATAGAAGTTAACTACATGAAATTTATTATAACCTTAAAAACACTTAAATATATACCATCATGACGGATATGAGCCAGTATTCCTATTCAGAATGGTGATGAATCTATCGAAACCTGAATGAGATTATATTTAGATCATTCACATAAAAATGAGATTATTTTATTAATAATAATTATTTTTTGTTTATAATGAAAAAGTAAATTCCTTATGTAGATTTCTGTCATTATTAATTCAATTTTGATTATCTTAATTTTTTTTGTTGAATAATTAGATTAATTTTTTTTTAATTCATAGTTGAAAGTCTGTTTAATGATAAATGTCAATATTCTAATAGCTTTTGGTAATTCATTGAATATTGTTTTACTTACAATCTTTTTTAAATTTATGTTTGTTTATATTTAAGCTGTTTGATTTGTTTTTCTATTTCTAGTTCCTAAAAATAAGTTTCTGTTGTCTTTATTGAAAATTTTTAATAAATTGATTTTGTTTTAAAATAATACATAAATATTTAATTGTTACTATAAAAAAATTTACTATGAATTTGATGCCATATGTAACCTTTTTAAAGATTAAAAATATTGAAGCCCAATATTTCAATATATGAATATTTTTTTCAATATATCAGATTACTATTTGAAAAAATTAGATATGATATATATTGGTATCTTTTTTTTATGTTTGAATCCCTAATTGTAAGAAAACCTCATAGTTACATGAGGGTATTGAAGTTGGATAGTAAGAATTCGGAGCACATAAAAAGTAAGCGGAAAAGGTAAAAAGGATATTCTGTTCAGTCAAGCGAGGCTTCTCAACTTAAGAAAGGTTACCAAGAGGACAAAAATAGCGATCTACAGGTTCATGTTTCTTCCTATTCTTTATAGAATATTGTATTTGTCGGAGTCCTGGATCCTCGCTCGAAAGTGCAGACAGGAGACAGGATTTGTAATACTACCATCCAAGCCAATACCAAGATAAAACAGACGGAAGTCATACTAGAGGAATACAAAATGGTACAGGCACCTTCAGATGGATTGCTAAATGATGGCAGCAAACAGTAGACAGCAGTCAGGAGGTATTTTGAAAAGTATGTTACACGGTGGGCCGGGCCAGACCCTCCTACCGTGCACCCTTCCCGAATATCCTAATAAACTGCATATAGTTGCGTTCCTTGTAATGATTTATTAAGCAAAAACCAATGTTCGCACAAAAAAAAAAAAAAAAAAAAAAAAAAAAAATGGTTGCACTATTACAAAATGACATACAAACATAGCAGATTGACGTCTTTGACTTGAGTTAGTTTTTCGGTCACTGAGTTTCAGCATTTGACTTAATTTCGCTACATTGGCCTTTAATTAAAGCTGGATAGTTGGAAAATAGTATAGCAGAACTTCAACCTGGAACGGAAGCTAGAAAATGAAGATGAAAATTAGGTGGAAACGCCACCTGAGAGGAAGGTTTGGGAAATACTCCACAGCATTAAGAATTATACAGCTCCAGGAGTCTACTGTATACCGGTGGAACTGCTGAAGTATGATGGAAGGACAGTTTTCGACGAACTGTCAATAATTATGAATAATTTTTTATGTGTGGGTGAATGAAAAGATGCTGATAAATTGGACTACAGCTCTTTTTTGGCCCATCAATAAAAAGAGAGACAGACTGGAGTGTGAGAATTACAGAGGCATAGCCCTACTTAACCTAATCTACAAAGTACTATCATCTTTGATTTGAAGGAAGTTGAAGACAGAAGTTTTTAGCCAATAATGGTCTTAGATAAGAAGATCCTCTGTCAGCAACTCTCTTTAATTTTTCCATGGAGGGAACAGTACGAGGCATAAGAACCAATTCTAGAGTTTGGTCTCACCAACAGATACACACAGGTATTGGCCTATGCTGATGATGTCCAAAAATCGAAAATGATGTCCAGTAGCAGAGTACTTATATCAGTTGCAGACTACAAAATGTCCCCTTTAACAAAAATAGAATAAAATTTGAAAATTTTTACATACAACCTTTTGCACTAATAGTAGTGATATATAGTTAATAAGTATGTTTTCACTCATAAAATGGATGGAACTAGAAAATCCATAGGAAAAATTCAACTTGTTGTTTGTTTAGAGTTAACGAGACCAATACTTTCTTTCAGTCAGAACAAAACGCTTTAAGCTAGAAAATATAAAAATATGGGTGGAGTTCACATAACTTCAATATTTAAGGAGAAAATCGAGAACAAGAAGAACTGGTTGAACTTCAATTGGAATAAACACAAATAAAACCTTTTTTTTTTACAAAATCAGAGTATAAATTACTTTAAATGTATTGAAAATTACACGAAATCTAAGTAACGGCAGTAAGTGCCATGCTAGTAACATTCAGAATCGACCAAACAATACAGTATCAATTAATTTTTTTAATAAAACCTAAAATTTTATAACCCCATAATAATATTGTAATAACCTAACTCCCACTCCATATGATCAGTGCCTTCAACATTTCGCAGCCATTATTTGTTAACAATTATTTATATTAATTTTAATAATGATTAAATGGAATTCAATGAAATTAATACTAAGTAAATTCTATACTGTTCTACAAATTTCCTCCAAGTTTGGGTCAAATCGAATGCGCCGTTTTCAAACTAATATCAAATGACACATTTCCTGATCTGAAAGTGGAAGTATTTTTTTTTTTTTTTTTGGAATAATAGATAGAATTTGATAAAATTGATGCCTATTTCATTTTACTTATACCAATCCCTAAATTCCCTCAAAATTTGAGCCAAATTGAACAAGTGGTCTTGGAGATATAGAAGTATCAAGGAAAACACGTTTGTGCATATATAAGACAAAGGAACAGACTGAATTCAATAAAATTGACCCTATCATGAAGAAAGGGTCAAACTTTTAATTTTTTATTTGTGCCAACGTTGCAATCTAAACATGTGGGTCATCTTCAGGGCAATGTTCGAGCACTGAAGAAGAGCCATATGTTTGGGTTGAAATTTTTTTAAAAGACTGCGTCCTGAATATTTATCACCGATGATATGTAGAACAGTGGACTAGCTTCCTTCAAAAATTGAACCTACATTATTTTTTCACAAATACCTATTTTTTATCCAATTTTTAGCCAAACCTAACTAGCCATTTCTAAAATATTGGCATATCTACAACAATTCGTTTGCGCGTAAGTAAGCGGAAGTGCTGGTCAGAATGTAATAAAATTGATATGGGACCATCTAGACACCAACCCGCACAATTCCTGAAAATGGGATGAACGGTAGTAGGTGATGAGCCCGTTACATCGATTTGCCTACAAACACCAAAACAAATTTGATCCTTGATGTCTGAACCGTAAAACGCAATTGGAAATTTTTGATTCTGAACTCACAATTTTTATTAAACTCTCACTCGAATACAATGCTTCCCTACCTTCGGTAATGGAGAAGCAATAAACAGGCAGTTTGTTGTTGTTAATAATAAAGCAAATGGCAGCTAAGCAACTTTAATCCGGCAGGAGTGGGGTACTTTTTGGTCCCGTAAGAGGTGTCCCATGATCATTTAGCTCACAGTAGACAATTTGTACTATTTCTGCATATAATTGGATGTGATTAAGACAAAAATGTTTACGATTACTTTCAATGCAATTTTTTCATTGTGGGTAATAAATATAAACACTATGTTGATGTCGAAAAATTATAGTATTTTATAAAATTTATAATATATTTAAAACTGGGGTTATAAAATTGGGTTTATAAAACAAAATGATATTTAAAAACAAAAATTAAGATAAAAACAATGAACTAATTAAATTTTGTTTCAATAACATATTTAGAAAAAAAAAAATTATTTCATATACATTACAAAATTGATGTACTGCAAAGGAATAACTAAAGTCAGAATACTCTACTGCACATGACATGCCCATTGTAAATCGGTTAATAACAATCTACCAATGTCTTTTTGGTTTTGATGATTTTCATGGGTACAAATAGTAAAAGTTCATATTGCCAGGCTTGGAACTCTTTACCCACATAACTTTCTAAATTTAACGTATAAAACATTTTTGAATCCAAGAGAGCATACATCTTCACTCCATATTTCGCGAGTTTGTTCAGGATGAAGACACGGAACTTCCAGCGCCCTAGGAAGCTTTGTCTTGTCAATAGTACAGTATGCATCAATTTGAGGGCACTCTACTACATCAGTAAATGTTTCTTTTATAGAAGCATTAATTATCAAACTCCTTTTGCTCAGTAGCCACAAATGCTGTCTAACCTCATGGCTCATAGTAAGACATGACTAGGAATTTAAAAAATAAATAAATTGGGTTAAGGATTTAGATAAATAAACCTAGGTAACATGTAATTAGGGTACTAGTTCACAAGAGTTCCGCACGGATTACGTGTGGTTCACAATCACTTCGATCACACTTGTTCATGGAATCCCGAAAACAGCCGAATGTTGTGGTCTTTTTTTATTGACACGTGCTTACATGTAGTGGCTGTAAAGACGCATATACTGTATATTATCTTTTATAACTGTGCATAAAAGATTTTTTATCATTTGGATAATAAATAATTTTAAGTTATCTATTATCTTTTTTTTGTTATTCGAGTTTTTCAATAGAAGTTGGAATAATTGAATTTAAAATTTATTTTAGCAAGCCTTTTTTGCGCAATCGTCTATCTAGTTTACATATTTTTTTAGATTTCTAATAATACGAGGGGCTATTTTCTAGAGTGGAGGGGGCGCTTTGTATGCATATACTGTCTGATTTGTAATTATGATGTGTAATTATTGTTATTCGCAGTTATTTTTCTTGGTAATCCGAAAAAAGGGATTATTGTAGGCTATGGTACAAAAAAAAGTATTTATTATCGAGAAAGGAATTAACGTATTTGGGAAACAACTGACAAAGAATATGTAATAATTCTAAGATAATGAATATTGGAAATCATCTATAAGAAAAATAATATCGTGAAATAGCAGCCTGTATGTAATAATTAAAGATTTTTATGTATTACTATTTCTTTTTTACAGATCTATAATATATGTACAAGCTCAATTCAGGTTTCATGATGTGTAGCCTAAATGTAAATCTGCTCCTGCTATATAACTGAACGTGGTTAAGGTTAAAGTACTTAAATGGCGTTAAAGTACTTAAATTAGTGAAGGTTAAAGTACTTAAATGGCGGGAAAGTTAATAGTAACTGGCCCAAGAGATCGGTCGCCTTCATTCTCTTTCGGAGAAACACGAACGCATTCGTGATTCCAGGAACAAGTGTGATCGAAGTGATTGTGAACCATGCGTAATCCGTGCGGAACTGTTGTGAACTAGTACCGTAATTAGTAACTACAAATATATATTTATCTTCTATCTGAGGCTCAAAAATCCAGATTTCTAAAAGATGTAAGATCTTCTTGCCTTGGCCACAGATTTAAAAAAAGAAATGCATGAGGTATTCAGGTAAGCATAACGTTTAAGCAAGAAAACAATATGCCACATTAGAAATGTACTGGTGAGAGAAACACTCATTCTTATCCATTCCAAGGACAGATTGTTTTATACGGGGAAGTGAACATTGAAGTTAAAGGGGAAGTAACATGAAAAAGCAACAATAACAACATCAAAGGGTTTTAAGAAGGTAGAGAAAAGTAGAAACAAAACCGATGAAGTACTAGGAAAATATAAACATTTATTTCCGTATGTGAGCAAAATGCTGATGGCTACACTTCTCCCAGGTTAAACAAGTAAATTTCAATGAATTTGAAACTGATGAAACTATAAACTAGCTGACAATAGCCAAAAAAGATTAAATTTAACTTAACTCTCAGATTTCTTGCCACACACCATGTACAGTAATATTAATAATAAAACGCAAATAAATTTATGCGATTTATATTTAGGACAATATTATAATAAGCATATAGATACCACTGATGTCCCAGAAGTATATTACCTGAACAAGAGGCTTGTCAGACATCCAAACACAATAAAACAAGCCCTTCCAAATTCTCATGAAGCCTTCTTCAGTGAATCCTAGAGGACATAATTAATATCAATAACATTGTTGAAATAAAAAGCCTAGTGACAGTATAGGACACATACTGTCTTGTCCATAGGTAAATGAAAAGTTGACTTACTGATGCCAGGAGATTCCTGAGTAGACTTCATCGAAAACCATCTTTTTAGCTTTTTTAAAGCTCTATCCCTCAATGATTTGTCATTAGAAGCTAGGGCTTTAGCAAAAGCAATTTCTTGAGCAACAGAAAGAAGCTCTTCTTTCGATTTACCGTTAGAAGCTTTACACATTTTGAACCATGAAGAAAATCACATTGAAAACAACCAAATTCATGTGCTTCTACAACGAGCTACTCTTGCATGGGGATAACTTCCACATTTCCAAAGAGGATAAAAAAACAGTAAGTAACTTGTCAAATATGTTAATGTCAACTAATGCTATCAGTATCGATCTGTATAACGTGTACATACAGATCGTCTATCTATAATTTTATAATGAAAGAAAGATCATAAGGATTTTCCTTCTGTTAAAGTTGAAAAAATATGCGAGTGCATAGTGAAATGACGTTTAAATAAATAATTAATTACTGAGTGCATTCATTACATAATTATAAATATTTTAATATACTTGATACTGACTCTTTTTAAGAGAAAAAATATTCTGTATTTTGTTAAAAAGAAATACCTATTATTTTTTTTTTTTTTTTTTCACGGAACGGCCATAGAGACCACGCGAATATCATGACATTTGGCTTCTACCTGTTATTATTATATACCATATTTATGAAACTTCCCTTTAAGTGCTGAATATTTCAAAACTTCAGATTTGACGGTTCAATTAATAAAATACCTCAGTTGAACATAGTTTTATTAGCTATTATCTTGGTAATTGCTCTATCATCTAATCATTATTAGGGTGCCTTCATAACTCTGTGGTGAGTTAAAACATTTTCTGACAGCTTCAAACAATACAGACAGTTCTTATGCGCCATCATTTATTTCAGAATACTTAGCATAGTGTTGTCGTCTGTTGTTGTTCTACCAACCGATACAATTTGTTTTTTTAGACATCTTGTGCCATGAAGGGTGTCTATCAATAGTTTTTGTCCAGATGAAAACGTCATATGTTGCCTGTCTCATTTTTATTAATGCATTATGAACTGTGTTTTTTTTTTGTTATAGTACACCATTTGCTGCTTCAGAATTCCGTCTTCGCTATTCATTCTTATCAATGCCTAATTTCACTTCCGTGAGGTAGCATAAACATAGTAACCAGATGGAACGAGCTAGAGCTGTGGGTGATTTTTTTTTCATCTCCCTATCTGGCCATTTCTGGCATACGGGGTTCGGTGACAGTAGGATAGTGCGCAGGCTACTGCCACCAATAATTTTTTTTTTGTTTTTCTAATTTTATTTCTTTTTATTTTGACGATATAATATTGGATAACATGTGGTGGAGCCCAGCGTGCGGTTACGCGCCTTATGATGGGGCTGCACCTAGTCTTCGTCCTTGGTCCTCTTTCTCTCCCAAGGGTGAAGTGCTCCGGTCCGACCACCTTCTGACATACTCAGTGAAGTAGGATTAGTATTGCTCGCCCATCAGCCTCCGTAGATCCGCCTCTTCGATGATGTACAACCTGTCATCCTGGACAGCCAGGCTCTGTATCCAGCCTTTTTTCGCTCAACAGGACTACGTGCTCCGCCGTGTTCGGGACACTACAGGTGGGACACAAGAGGTTGATGTCCTTGCCAGGCATATTCAGCTTAACACTGAATCCTCGGTATCTCGTAGAAATCTGCGAGGCCCAGTAATCCGACCTCATCTACCTCACCTCCAATCTGGAACTAACGGTAGGATTGACATTTTTTATACAGCTGATGACATTGTTATATATGGGAGCTGCGAGTGCCGGAAAGAATGAACAAAAATACTCTATCTACTCGGCCCACTTGGAGAATGGTGGATGTTTGGCAGCTGCGGGGAGATGTAGAGTACCCCAAGTGTTTTAATACCAACTTTGGTGAGAGGTTCGAGATAAATTAAGAAAATTCTACCTACGGAACTTTGATAATTTTTTTAAATATTGTAGCCGAAATGAATGTGAATATTTTAGCCTCTTCTTCCGGTAAGTAAGACATGATGGTGACTCATATGGACCCGATTGAGGAGAGAGAAACACTTTATTTTCATATAAAATATAAAAGCTTGCTGTCCAATTATATTGGGTTGCTATACACACAGCATACTAGTTAATCCGTAGGCCAATAAATAAACTTATATATAAATATACAGAAGTTGTTAGTATACATGCATATAATAAATATATTTTCCTTTCATTGTTCATGCCCTTCTTTTTTTTTTCCTTTTTCACATTTAATTTCCCTTTCTCTCTCTTTATACACCTCACATATACACAAAATTAAGATGCTTAAAATTATAATAGGACAATAACAACAACCAAAAGTGTATACATCTAGAATTAAATAAAATTTAATGTAAAACAAATATAATAGACATTTTTCATTATATAAATAAATAAATTAAAACTCTCAGCCTAACCATGTGGTGGTGGTGAATGATTCCCAAGGAGTCGAGGACTATATTTTCAGCCAAACTCGCTATGTCCTTAATGTCGACACCTAGTTCTTCGAGGAAGCTCCTTGTTCTTTTTGGAATTGTTCTGCGAGACCCAAACCAGAGGCCTCTCACGGTGAACTCTCTCTCTCCGAAGGTCTCACGAAATTTCTGTTTTAGGAAAGGGATATATTTATAATACTTGTTCTTCTTTTCCCTTTCCACTTCACCCGCCTGATCGAGGTCATTGCTCTCCAAGCGGACAGTAGAATCCAAGATCAGCGCTGTCCTTCCTGTCTTGGGAAATGCGACAATATCCGCATATATCGTAGAGCCTTCACTATCGATGCAATATATCTCGTCAAAGCAGGTGAATTTCCTTTCTCTAAGGAGCCTCATTAACTCGAACTTGATCCTACGGTGACGACGTGTTATGAGGAGGGAGTTATTGGGGCATTTTCCCAGCACATGGGCTGCTGTTTCAGACTCTCTGCCACATTTACACTAGCGGATCCAGGATTTAATTTTGGGGGGGCTTCAGCCCGAAACCTTTTTTTTTCATAAAAATAACGATAATTACTTTGGAAAAACAGAAAGAAACTAACTACCTATATGAAATGGTGTTTAAGTTATTCCTTAAGTACTTTTAAATGTAATTACACGTACAATAATACTTTAAGAGGTATTTTTTTCCATAAAACATGGTTATATTTTTCCATTTTGGGGGGGGGGACTTCAGCCCGAAAGCCCCCCCCCCGTAGATCCGCCCGTGCACATTTATGACAGAAGGATCCAACTTCTCTGACCTGTCCGCTGACACCTGGGATTCCACGCAGGGGTGCATAATTAATGTTTAGTTTTAGGGCATTCGACCATTCAGACCCAGAAAGTACTTGCTTTTCGTAGATGTATCTATTCGCTTTCGGGGAATCTTTAAAATGGCGAACACCAATACCCTGGCATCTGCAGTTGGCCCATTCCTCAAACGAATTTTTTCGTAGCGACTGCCGTAGAGCTCTCACATTTCAATGACCCTGATCAACCCCCAATCTCTCGGCACATTCCGCAACTTCAGCCGAATAATCGAAGGTATATTGGAAAAGGCCATCTGGTACATTTGAAGAAGTTAGCAACTTCACTGTTAAGCTAAAGTGAATATCAAACCACCCCCTACTTTCCTAAAACTTTGGGCAATTAGTGAAAACCTATGCCAAAAAGAGATAATTAGATATCTTCATTGATGTTTAAGTGCATTTGACTGTTCACCTAACGAAAAAACGGCAAAAAGCCTCAAAAATGAAAGAAATTGAATCATAAGTTATCTAATGGAAACAAATCAATATGATGCTGAAGCAAAGATCACTCAAATCTGAACTGGGGCTAAACTGTAGATGTAATCTATAGGTGCTGTCTGGTTATTGTTTCACTGCCAATAAAACTTAATGCCGCAGCATTTTTTATATAGCTGATGACATTGCTATATATGGGAACAAATCTCAGCAGGCAATTTCTGGACTGCTAATAATATCAATGGATTTTCAAGAAGAATGATGTCTAGACAATGGACTTGGCATCAATAACCGAAAGTTAATTTCTGCTACTTAACTAATTGAAGAATATAATAATCATATCGCTACATTGGAACAGAGTTCTAGTTAATATCAGTAGTGAAGTTGTTCATCTAGAGATTACCTTTGAACCTTTCCAATATATTTTATTTCTCTCCTCAACAGTGCCAACTAAAATAAAATTTAAAATATTGTATATCATATACACATTTTTCAGTGATTCATCTCCAAAAATATCCCGTACATTTCCGAGTTTTTTCAGATTTTAACCGGTTTTTCAAGATTTATCTCAAAATTAGAAATATTAATAAATACTGTTATGAGTAATGAATTATGTAATTAAAAATTAAAATAATGAGTACAGCTGCCTGTAGTGTAATGTAAGCTCTTACAGCAATTAATTTATTAATATTAATAAATTCAAAAAGTGAGACAAAGATTCATTTTCTGTTTTATTTATTTTAAAACAAATAAAATGATTTAAGAAGTTGATGTATGTTTTTTTTTCTTTCAGAAATTCAAAATACCAAAATGTTTTTAAATATTTGAAATAAATATAAAACATAATGTAAAATGATAGAACTATTAAAAAAAAAAAAAAAAAATGGATTTAATCCAAAATTAAAGCAGCTTTTCTTTCTATGAATGCTAGTAAATTTGACATTGTCATAAGTAATCGTATGTAATGGTTTTTTTCTCTCAAATTTTTTGTCTTTGCTCTTAAGGGCCCCTTACATAGTCAATATTATTGAAGAGTAATTGAAGGCAATAAATTTCCTGGCTACTCACAGGAATCAATTATATTGAATCACTATTATATCAGTTAAGATCTTTCTTCCACTAAAGAAAGTTTTAAAAGAGGTGATCTTTGTTTTTTGTGAAAATGAATAATAATAAATTTCCTGATACTTTAAGTGCCTTGGCTTTAACATTAAACATATATATATATATATATATATATATATATATATATATATATATATATATATATATATATATATATATATATGTGTGTGTGTCTGTTCTTTGTACTGTTTATTTTGTTCCTAGACATTAAAACGTTTCTTGTTTCAAATTAGCTCTGTTCTTGTTTCCTAATTATTTAATTTTTAAAACATATTACCATTATTTCTTTTAAAAAAATTTGAGGAGGGTTCCCACCCCCAAAAAAATTATCACCCACCTACCGAAACATATTGTCC